TTGGGTGTATTCTAAGTCATAAATAAAGATAAATAACTAAATGACCAAATTGTCAATTCTCAATATTTTCAGAGTTACAGTGTAATGGTCTGGCAGTTGATGGCTGTATACTCAACAAGTAACACCGAGAGATAGTATAGCACGACCAATACAGAAGCAGTTTTATTTATCCGGGAAAAGTGCTTCTGCCGTGGACAAACCGATCACCGTCAACAAACACGACAAATGTTGTGAGAGAAACAAAACAACAAATGAAAACATTTAACAGGTAGAATACATCCTCAGTCCTCACAAAAATGGTCACTACCACTAACACACACCAACACTGTCACACACCAACACTGTCGCACACCAACACTGTCACACACCAACAGTGTCACACACCGGCAGTAAGCCACACCAACACTATCACACACCAACACTGTCACACACCAACACTGTCACACACCAACACACTGTCACACACCGACACTGCACTACACCGGCACTGTCACACACCAACACTGTCACACACCAACACTGTCACACACCAACAATGCTCACACCAACAATGTCACACACTGGCAGTACACCAACACTATCACACACCAACACTGTCACACACCAACACGTCACACACCAACACTGTCACACACCAACACCGTCACACACCAACACTGTCAAACACCGACACTGTCACACACCGGCAGTGTCACACACCAACACCATCACACACACCAACACTGTCACACACCGACACTGTCACACACCGGCAGTGCTCACACAACACTATCACACACCAACACTGTCACACACCAACACTGTCAAACACCGACACTGTCACACACCGGCAGTGTCACACACCAACACTATTACACACCAACACTGTCAAACACCGACACTGTCACACACCGGCAGTGTCAAACACCAACACTATCACACACCAACACTGTCACACACCAACACTGTCACACACCAACACTGTCAAACACTGACACTGTCACACACCGGCAGTGTCACACACCAACACTATCACACACCAACACTGTCACACACCAACACTGTCACACACCAACACTGTCACACACCAACACTATCACACACCGACACTGTCACACACACGACAGTATCACACACCGACAGTGTCACACACCAACACTGCCACTATCACACGCCACAACACTACCACTATCACACGCCAACACTACCACTATCACACACACCAACACTACCACTATCACCCACCAACACTACCACTATCACCCACCAACACTACCACACTATCACACGCCAACACTGCCACTATCACACGCCAACACTGCCACTATCACACGCCAACACTACCACTATCACCCACCAACACTACCACTATCACCCACCAACACTACCACTATCACACGCCAACACTACCACTATCACACACCAACACTACCACTATCACCCACCAACACTACCACTATCACCCACCAACACCACTATCACACGCCAACACTACCACTATCACACGCCAACACTACCACCATCACACGCCAACACTACCACTATCACTCACCAACACCACTATCACACACCACTACCACCATCACACACCAACACTACCACTATCACACACCAACACTACCACCATCACACACCAACACTACCACTACATCACACGCCAACACTACCACTATCACACACCAACACTACCACTATCACACACCAACACTACCACTATCACACCCAACACTACCACTATCACACTATTTTCATCACATTATTATAATTGTCGTCAAACAACACAATTATTCTCGCCATAAACCACTCATGGTGACACGCCCGACAAGAGACATTATACACACCTCCTTATTCCGAGATAGAAACTAGAGGTGTATATCTTAGCGCAAGATGCACCAGTGTGACGCAAGTGTCAGTCAAGATGATGGGTGTAGTATTTCAGTGGGTGAGGCTCAGGGTTGAGCTGCTCACCTGACACGTCTCGTCGTTTGTCTCTGGGTTTAGAACCGTAATGATTATGGGCCTTGTCCCCAAAAACATTTTACGTCCTCGACCAACAATATCACGTCACCCAGGTTTACAGAAGCGTTTACCATCATCTGTCTGTAACTCGGTATATTACTAGGTACGTGTACACAACAACGGGAATGAACAATGACAGTGTACCCTGTACACAAGCGGAGGCTCGCCCTGCATATTATAAGATTTAAGACTATTAATATTAGGCAGATGGCGGACACCAGTGGTGATGGTGTGTGAGGCTGCGGCGCGAGTGGCTACCTGTTGCTGATGAGACACTGATGAAAACCGGTATTATGATTAAGAGCAGCGGAGGAAATACCGAGCTGAGATTTTTATCAACATTTTATAATTTTATAAAGTGGATGACCCTAACTTAGGTTAAATGGGTCTAACTTTATGATTTTTCTCCAGGAATTATTAGATTGTTAGTGAAAATATTCATCTCTATCAGCAACTAACTACAGTATATCAAAGTTTAGTTAGTGTTAATATAAGTATAGCGGGTTTTAGGATAATCTTTACATCAGCCGCCACAAACAGTGAACCCGGCTGGCCTGCACCAATAAGAAGAGCCTGAGAAAGGGTTCTTACGCTGGTATCCTTACCGTGTATTTTATTAATAATGGTGAGGAGTAATTTTTATACATCAGCTAAAAAGTTATGTTTACAATTTGGTCGAGTACAGTCAGGATGATGCTACTAAGAATAAAAATTAAAAGTAAAGGCTACGAGAGAGGTGGCCACTCCACTACGAGAGAGGTGTGCACCTCCACTCATAGAGAGAGGTGTGCGGCCACTCCACTACAAGAGAGGTGTGCGGCCACTCCACTACAAGAGAGGTGTGCGGCCACCAGCTACAAGAGAGGGTGTGCGGCCACCAGCTACTAGAGAGGTGTGCTGCGCCTGCTACTAGAGAGGTGTGCGGCCACCCCACTACAAGAGAGGTGTGCGGCCACCCAGTACAGAGAGGGTGTGTGGCCACTCAGCTACTAGAGAGGTGTGCGGCCACTCCGCTACGAGAGAGGTGTGCGGCCTCAACGCTACTAGAGAGGTGTGTACACTCCAATTACGAGAGAGGTGTGGCCTCAACGCTACTAGAGAGGTGTGCGGCCACTCCACTACGAGAGAAGAGGTGTGCGGCCTCAACGCTACTAGAGAGGTGTGCGGCCCTCCACGCTTACAGAGAGGTGTGCGGCCTCAACGCTACTAGAGAGGTGTGCGGCCTCAACGCACTGAGAGAGGTGTGAGGCCTCAACGCTACTAGAGAGGTGTGTGTGTGCTCAACGCTATGAGAGAGTGTGCGGCCTCAACGCTACGAGAGGTGTGTGCGGCCTCAACGCTATGAGGAGGGAGCGGCTGCAGCCCGCTACCGAGAGAGGTGTGCGGCCTCAACGCTACGAGAGAGGTGTGCTGCTGTCTGCTACGAGATGTGCAGCCCTCATGCAGGAGAGAGGTGTGCAGCCTCATGCGGAGAGAGGCGCGGCTGCCCGCTACTAACGAGGTGTGCGGCCTCAACGCTACGAAATAGGTGTGCTGCTGCTCTGCTACGAGAGGTGCAGCCTCAATGCTATGAGAGAGGTGCGGCCCACAAGCATGAGAGAGGCGTGCCGCTCCGCTACTAACGAGGTGTGCGCCTCAACGCTACGAGAGAGGTGTGCTGCTGCTCTGCTACGAGAGAGGTGTGCAGCCTCAATGCTATGAGAGAGAGGTGTGCGGCCTCAATGCTATGAGAGAGGCGTGCCGCCTGCTACTACTAACGTGGTGTGCGGCCTGAACGCTACGAAATAGGTGTTCTGCCGCAACCCTACGAGAGGTGTGCAGCCACTCCGCCACTGAGAGAGGTGTGCTGCCCGCTACAGAGAGGTGCTGCCGCCCGCCACCAGAGAGGTGTGCTGCCGCCTGCTACTAGAGAGGTTGCGGCTCAACGCTACGAGAGAGGTGTGCAGCCTCAACGCTACGAGAGAGGTGTGCTGCCGCCCGCCATACTAGGTGTTTGCGGCCTCAACGCCACGGAGAGGGTGCGGCCGCCCGCTACGAGAGGTGTGCGGCTCAACACTACGAGAGAGGTGTGCTGCCGCCCGCTAACAGAGAGGTTTGCGGCGTCAACGCTACGAGAAGGCCCGCATGAGAGAGGTGTGCTGCTCAACGCTACAAGAGAGGTGTGCGGTCAACGCTACGAGAGATGTGTGCTGCCCCTCCACACAGAGAGGTGTGCGGCCTCAACCATACGAGAGAGGCCTCAACGCTACGAGAGAGTGACGGCCGCTCCACTACTAGAGTGGTGTGCGGCCTCAACGCCACGAGAGAGGTGTGCGGCCACCACGCTGACTAGAGAGGTGAGCGGCTCAACGCCTAAGAGAGAAGTGTGCTGCCACTACACCACGGAGAGGTGCGGCCGCCCGCCACTAGAGAGAGGTGTGCGACCACCCACTACTAGAGAGGTGTGCGACCTCAACGCTACGAGAGTGGTAGCTGCCGCAACGCTACGAGAGAGGGGTGCGGCCTCAATGCAACGAGAGAGTGGTGCGGCCTCAACGCCATGAGAAAGGTGTGTGCGGCTGCCCGCTACGAGAGAGGTGCGACCGCTCCGCTACGAGAGAGAGGTGTGGCTGCAACGCTACGAGAGAGGTGTGTGGCTGCAACGCTACGAGAGGTGCTGCCACAACGCTACGAGAGAGGTGTGGCCACAACGCTACGAGAGAGGTGTGCGGCCTCTCCGCTATGAGAGAGGTACAGCCTCAACGCTATGAGAGAGGTGTGCGCCGCAACGCCATAGAGAGAGGTGTGCGGCCACTACGCCACGGAGAGGTGTGCTGCCGCCTGCGCAATAGAGAGGTGTGCGGCCTCAACCCTACAAGAGAGGTGCGGCCTCAACGCTACGAGAGAAGTGTGCGGCCACCACGCTACGAGAGAGGCGTGGCCGCCCGCTACTACAGAGAGGTGTGCGACCAACGCTACGAGAGTGGTGTGCTGCCCCAATGCTACGAGAGTGCGCCTCCGCTATGAGAGGTGTGCGGCCTCAACGCTATGAGAGAAGTGTGCGGCCACTACGCTACGGAAAGAGGTGCGGCCGCCCGCTACGAGAGGTGTGCGACCTCAATGCTACGAGAGTGGTAGCTGCCGCAATGCTACGAGAGAGGTGTGCGGCCTCATGCTACAGAGTGGTGCCGCCTCAACGCTGAGAGAGGTGTGCTGCCGCAACGCTATGAGAGAGGTGTGCGGCCTCAATGCGCAAAATAGGTGTGCGACCTCAACGCTACGAGAGAGGCGGTGCGGCCGCCCGCTACTAGAGAGGTGTGCGACCGCCCGCCACGAGAGAGGTGGCTGCAACGCTACGAGAGAGGTGTGTGGCTGCAACGCTACGAGAGAGGTGTGCTGCCACAACGCTACGAGAGGAAATGCGTGCACAACGCTACGAGAGAGGTGTGTGGCCTCCGCTATGAGAGAGGCGCCTGCAATGCTACAAGAGAGGTGTGCCACCACGCCACGGAGAAGTGTTGCCCGCGCTTAAGAGGTGCGGCCTCAACCCTACGAGAGAGTGCAGCCTCAACGCCACGAGAGAGGTGTGCGGCCTCTCCACTACTAGAGAGGTGTGCAGCCTCAACGCTACAGAGAGATGTGCGGCCACTACGCTACTGAAGAGGTGAGCGGCCTCAACGCATGAGAGAAGTGCCACACTACACTAAGAGAGAGGCGCGTCGCCCGGCTACTAGAAAAGGACCAACGCTACGAGAGGTGTGCGGCCACTACGCTACTAAAGAGGTGAGCGGCCTCAACGCTATGAGAGAAGTGTGCTGCCACTATGCTACGAGAGAGGTGTGCGGCCGCCCGCTACTAGAGAGAGGTGTGTGACCTCAACGCTACTGAGAGGGTGTGCGCCACTACGCTACTAAAGAGGTGAGCGGCCTCAACGCTATGGAGAGAAGTGCAGCCACTACCACGAGAGAGGTGCCCCGCACTAGAGAGGTGTGTGACCTCAACGCTACGAGAGAGGTGCACTACGCTAAAAGGTGAGCGGCCTCAACGCTATGAGAGAAGTGCGCCACTACGCTACTGAGAGAGAGGTGCGGCTGCCCTGGCTACTAGAGAGGTGTGCGACCAACGCTACGAGTGGTGTGGCCGCAACGCTACAGAGAGAAGTGCTGCGCCTCATGCTACGAGAGTGGTGCGGCCTCAACGCTATGAGAGAGGTGTTCTGCCGCCCGTTACTGGAGAGGTGTGCGGCCTCATGCTATGAAAGAGGTGTGCGACCTCAACGCTACGAGAGAGGTGTGCGGCCGTTCCGCTACGAGAGAGGTGTGCGGCCACCCACTACGAGAGGGTGCGGCCGCCCGCTACGAGAGGTGTGTGCCGCCCTGCTACGAGAGAAATGGCCACAACGCTACGAGAGGTGTGCCTTCCGCTACGAGGAGGTGTGCAGCCTCAATGCTAGGAGAGAGTGGTGCGGCCTCAACGCAGAGGTGTGCTGCCACAACGCTACGAGAGAGGTGCGGCCGCCTCTACTAGAGAGGTGTGCGCCCGCTTGCTACGAGAGAGAGGTGTCTGCAACGCAACGGGAGAGGTGTGCTGCAATGCTACGAGAGAGTGTGCTGCCACAACGCTACGAGAGGTGTGCTGCCACAACGCTATGGAGAGGTGTGCGGCCTCCACTACGAGGGTGCAGCCCCGCTACGGAGAGGTGTGTCCGCTTACGAGAGAGGTGGCCACAACGCTGAGAGAGGTGTGCGGCCTCCGCTATGAGAGAGGGTTCAGCTGCAATGCAACGATACGTTTGGCCACACACCTCTCTTGTAACACAAAAGTGTATTGTAACAATAAAAATACTCAAATCGTATTTGTATTATACAACATCATAAACGTGGCGTGGGTTGGGCCTCATAGTACAACAGATACCACAGACTGTGTTATCTGTTGTACTAGAGCGTCATTATATTATACTGACCCAGACTTACAGCACCCCCACTGAGCCAATTCAAAATTTCACCATTCATACTGTAGATATAAGTAATGAAGGGAACTTTCATTAAGTAAAAACCTAAGCTCAGTTTATTACTGTAGTGATGACAGTTTGAAAGTGATGATGGGTGGTGTTAACTATAGTGATGATGTATGGTGTTAAGTATAGTGATGATTGATGGTGTTATTTGTAGTGATGATGGGTGGTGTTAAGTATAGTGATGGTGGATGGTGTTATATGTAGTGATGATGGATGGTGTTAAGTATAGTGATGATCGATGGTGTTATATGTAGTGATGATGGGTGGTGTTAAGGATAGTGATGATGGATGGTGTTAGGATAGTGATGATGGATGGTGTTAAGTATAGTGATGATGGATGGTGTTAAGGATAGTGATGATGGATGGTGTTATATGTAGTGATGATGGATGGTGTTAAGTATAGTGATGATGGGTGGTGTTATATGTAGTGATGATGGGTGGTGTTAAGTATAGTGATGATGTGTGGTGCTATGTATATTGTTGATGGGTGGTGTTGTTTAGTGATGATGGATGGTGTTAAGTATAGTGATGATGGATGGTGAAGTATAGTGATGATTGATGGTGTTATATAGTGATGATGGATGGTGTTAAGTATAGTGATGATGGATGGTGTTATAGGTAGTGATGATCGATGGTGTTATGTAAAGTGATGATTGATGGTATTACATGTAGTGATGATGGTATGTATATGCACACATATATATATATATATATATATATATATATATATATATATATATATATATATATATATATATATATATATATATATATATTGTTACGACCGTGTCGTATTTTATTTTTATATATAACATACCCATGTTCCATATTATTCCTGTAATGATGTGTTAAATTTACTATTATATATTCTAGTCACCTACCCTGTGCTGTTAAGGTTTTAACTGTCATTATTTGTTCAGCCCATCTTATTTCTTCATTTTGTATTGTAACCAGCATTCTTGTTCTCTAACGACCATCTGCATCGTTAAACGACCCACCGGCGGGTCGTGGCGGGAGCCGACCTTATATATAGGACCCACCAACCTGACTTGAGTCAGTTCAGTCCTCTTGTCACAGTACACATCCTTTGAGTGTCACTTGTTACTTAAACTTAATTTAATTTGTTGTTCCTGTCGCCACCAATGTGGTATATCTATGTGAGTACCTATTTATGTCTCTGTTTGTGTCCATCAGTATTTGCTTAGTTGTATTCAAGTAATTCAGTGTTTCACGTTAGTTAATTTCAGTGTTATTTTTATATGTTTATGCAGTGTTAACGTAATCCAATGCTTTATTTTTATTCTTTTGATGTTTCGATGTTTTGTATCACTTGTGTCTTAAAAGTTTCGATGGTGAATCAATTTGTTGTGACAGCCTACGAGGCTCTTTATTGTGTTAATATTTAATCCATTAAATTCTTAAAGGTTTACTTTATTTATTTTTATTCTTTAATTTACTTCACTTTTGTTTGGTTACGCCTAGAACCTGGATATTTAAGTAAATTAAGAGACGGCGTAACAATATATATATATGCAAGTAAATGACTGTAGGTGCGCGTGATCTAATCAACGAAAGGTGGTCAGGTCAGATGGTCAGAACCTGGCCTTCTCACCTGGTCACAAATCTTCTTAATTACAAAATTGTCCAGCTTGTACATGCCGTTACTCAAATTCATGTTGAATGCTTCGGTATGTTTAATAAGACTAGATTCTATGATGTTCCTACTATCAATTGAATTACATGGTAATATTGAGGGGCATTATCCCAGTCAATGCAATGCTTGTTATCCCTCAAATGAACAAACAGAGCATTGGATTCCTGGCCTGTCCTAACACTGCATTTGTGTTGAATTCTAGTTACAAGATCTTTACCTGTCTGGCCTACGTAAAACATATATTACATTCTTGCAAGGAACTTTATAAATGCAACCAATTGTGTTGTTGGGGAGTTCTTGATTAACATTTGTTTAACAGTGCATGAGTTTTAAATGCTACATTGACGTTCCAGGTTTTAGTTGTGAAGGAAGATTTGTGACCAGGTGAGAAGGCCTGGTCACCTGACCATCTGACCTGACCACCAACCGTTGTGTACTATTTAAAGATTAGTAGAGTCATTACCTAATACCTGACCATTGTGGACCTGGTCTCACCTCCTCTGTATATATACACCTTGATTTGTATTTCTCTCTCTATTCTGTACTCACCCCTGAAGATGTGAATTACACGAAATGCTTGGGAACTTCGTGTTTTCTTCTTCCTTATGGTTATCAGCATATATATATATATATATATCGGCAGAAAATTTTAACAAGGGTCCTTCAACCTGGCTTATTATTGCATTACTGTTTACTACTATAGTTTTTCTTAGCTAGCTTAGAATTTACATAATAAAGCTGCACTACTGTCAAGGCTGAGGTCACTTTTGGGATGCTCAGGAGGTGACATCACGGGCTGTTGACCAGTGCTGTCTGAGGAACAAACAGTGATTTTAGTGATTGGTGAAGCAAGACTTATTCTTAAATCCTGACGCTTATCTGGCCAGCACATATGGTCATGACCCAGTTACAAAAAGCAAACCCTGTTTTCAGTCAGATTCGACCGTCATCATGTTGTTGTTGTTGGTGTTGTTCCTCAGTTGGTCTCTAACAAAATTGCTAGATATTTGACATCACCTGAAATTTAGACACCTAAACTTATTTCACCTGCAAATGAAAAATATCTACCAGTAGCATTCCGATGGTTACAGTAATTATCAGGTGAAATAAGCTGGACCAATCTTCAGGTGACACAACCATTAATAATTACGGTATTGCTCAGATAATATTACTGAACGTTTCTTTGGTCCTTACAAAATAAACATATCTTAGGCAATATAACTCAGCGTTTTGTTTTGTTTTCAACTCACTACATAATATAAAACAATGAATACCATAGCAATTAACATGTTTTACGTCACCTGGTGTCGTTTGTATCAACCAGCGAGGAGCGAGTTTCACCTCCCTTGACCCGCCACTAGTTGACCTTAAGTAAGTGACCGTAATTTTGACCTGACCCTCGTGGCTCGTCGATCTGCCGTGCCTCATCGGGTCACGTGAATGGTGACGCCTGTAGAGGGAGGAGGGGTGTTGGCCACGTTCCGGATGTTG